CCCCTTTCCAGTCCGGACACTTTCACCCCCCCCTTCCAGTCCGGACACTTTCACCCCCTTCCAGTCCAGACGCTTTCCCCCCCCTTCCAGTCCAGACGCTTTCCCCCCCCTTCCAGTCCGGACACTTCCCCCCCCTTCCAGTCTGGACACTTCCCCCCCCCTTCCAGTCCGGACACTTTCCCCCCCTTCCAGTCTGGACGCTTCCCCCCCCTTCCAGTCTGGACGCTTTCACCCCCTTCCAGTCCGGACACTTTCCCCCCCTTCCAGTCCGGACACTTTCACCCCCCTTCCAGTCCGGACACTTTCCCCCCCTTCCAGTCCGACGCTTTCACCCCCTTCCAGTCCGGACACTTTCCCCCCCTTCCAGTCCGGACGCTTTCCTCCTCTTCCAGTCCGGACACTTTCCCCCCCTTCCAGTCCGGACACTTTCCCCCCCTTCCAGTCCGGACACTTTCACCCCCTTCCTGTCCAGGCCAATTTTCAGCTTTCAGCGCTATCACACTTTGAACGACAGTTGCGCCGTCATGCAACACTGTACCCATATGAATTTTTTAGCATTTTTTTTGAGACAGATAAAGCTTTATTTTGGTGGTATTTATTCACCACTGGGATTTTTATTTTTTTTTTCTATGTAAATGAAAATGTCCAAAAATTTTGAAAAAAAGTGTTTTTCTTATAAAATTTTGCAAATAAATAGTATTTCATCATAAATATTGGCCAAAATGTATTCCGTTATCTTTTTAGTAAAAAAAGATAATACCCCAAATTAGTTTATAACCAAAAATTATCATTTTTAAACATTTTTTTTTTTTTTTTTTATATTTTTTTTTTTTTTTTTACATACTGTCACCCTAGCAGTAGTGTCACCATGGTGACACTGTACTACTTGTGGGGGGTGATGAAGATTTTTTTTTTTTTTACACTGATTGCTTTTACACCTATAAAGGCTATAAAAAGCAATCATTTCTCCTTCTCTCTGGTTGCATTCTTGCAGCCATTGAGAAATACTGTGAGAGCTGTGAATGGTCACAGCTTGTCACATGGTACAAGGCTTTTGTGAATGGCCCTGTACTATGTGACCTCTGTGATCATTCAAAGATTTCACACATAGTAAGCAATGATGTTAGAAGTGACATCTTGCTTACCACTCTGCATGTGATCACTGATTGGCCAATCAGTGATCACATGATCAGGACCTCGCAGAGAGGTCCCGTCCGACAATTGGTGTTCCTCTGTGTCCGGAGGACACAGCGAGCACCGGATCACGGTGCTGCGTGCTCCCAGGGAGCACGCACAAGCAGGGGTCAGGGAGGCCGTTTATAAATGGCCACCCAACCCTGCACTGCCACTGTCCGACCGTTTTATATACAATGGCTGGACGGGAAGTGGTTAACCTATTAACCTAAAATCGGTTCTGAGATCGCTGTTTTACTAACCTGACAGTTAGTTATTATAAAAAAGAAACCTCCATTTGGTTTGCAAATATTAAAGATTCTAACTACCAGCAAGAATGAGTCGGTTTCCTTACATTTAAAGAGCACCTGTCATTTTTGATCCATCATGGCAGCGCCTGTTAGCGGGCATCCACTCCCCTGCTACCGCCACGTCCCTCCCCTTGTTGTGTCCCTGCCGCATCACCAGCCATCCCATTAAAGGGAATGGGACTGTTGGTGAGTCAACAGCGGGTCGGAGGAGGAGCCGCTGCGGGACAGAGATGACAGGTGCTCTTTAAAAATTATGATTTAAATGGAGCCTTTTCACTAGTGATTTAAATCAAATCCTCCCTGGTAGATATAGTAAATCCTTTCATGCAGAGTCCTCATTTATACATAATCCCTCTAGAAATACAGTCTTCTCATCACATCATTAATATCATTAGCAAGGTTCTAAGAGAGATCCAGAAACAATTCCTTCACACTGTATCCATACAGACATAAAGAGGAATAGAAATGGTGGAAAAAGAATAGGACTGCAAAAAAAAGATGTGAACAGCAATACATGACAAAAGCAATAATAAACACAAGTGGATATGACTCCATGTCCTCCGCTTCAAAGTCATGTCTAAGCCCGGGTTCACACTGATGCGGTGCGAAATTCGCAGCATTTTTTCATGCGACCCGATGCGGGTGTGTATGTTAAGTTAACAACCCCCCACATCAGTCCGCGAAACGCCCCCCACATCAGTCCACAAAACGCGGTGCGATGTGCAGAATCAGATCGCATAGGTGTGAATACCCGTGAGATCCGATTCTAGCGTGGACCAAATAAAGGGTCCTGCACCCTTTTGGTGCGGTGTGAAAATGTATGTCTCTAATCGCACCGCACACAAATCGCATGTGATGTGTACAGGCATGCGGTGCGGTTCCTGTGCGAATCTCATGGGATTTACCGCACCGCTGCAGTGTGAACCCGGGCTAAATCCCAAACTTTTTTTCACTTTGGACAGAGTAAGGAAAGGGTAAATCCCTGCGATGTCTCTATGCTGCCGTCTGTTTCCTACTGGGAAGACGTGTCTTCACTTTCTCTAATGTAACACAACAGGCAGTGAAGAAAAAATCCCTCCAAAATAAGGGGTATGCACTCTTAGGTGGTGTCCCCAATGGAAGACTTCCTCACTGTTCCTGTTCTGGTGACAACTCAACAACTTGGATTTTCACACTTTTTTTTTTCACTTTGGACAGAGTAAGGAGAGTGTAAACCCCTGCGATGTCTTTGTTGCCATCTGTTTCCTATTTGGGAGATTTGTCTTCACTTTTTGTAATGTAACACAACAGGAAGTGAAGAAAAAATCCCTCCAAAGTAAGAGGTATGCACTCTTAGGTGGTGTCCCCAATGGAAGACTTCCTCACTGTTCCTGTTCTGGTGACAACTCAACAACTTGGATTTTCACACTTTTTTTCACTTTGGACAGAGTAAGGAGAGTGTAAACCCCTGCGATGTCTCTTTGTTGCAGTCTGTTTCCTATTGGGGAGATTTGTCTTCACTTTCTGTAATGTAACACAACAGGAACTGAAGAAAAAAATCCCTCCAAAGTAAGGGGTATGCACTGTTAGGCGGTGTCCCCAATGGAAGACTTCCTCACTGTTCCTGTTCTGGTGACAACTCAACAACTTGGATTTTCCCACCACTTTCTGTGCTAGAGACAATGGACCCCTGGAGAAACAAGGAATAGTGAACCTCTCCAGTGTGGAAGCAGAGAGCAATAAAAACTTGACAGGGGTTCTAACCGCTTTTCATGCTATTCAGAAGAAAAAAACAAAAAAAAACACCAAAGCAAACTGCGAATCGGTAGGTTCATTTTAACTCTACAAAAAAATGGCCCCTCCCCAGTCTGTAACTGGCCTTCATTGTAACTCCACCTCAATGACAGCAAATCCCATCCCTTTGCTCCCCAACTGCCACAGAGAGGAATCCTTGTAGCTAGTAGTCTTGACTTGGAGCTTACAAAGTACTGAGGACTCTGTCTCTGCACCCCCCCCCCCCCCCCATGGCTGAGTAACACCAATCACCAGCTCTATCACATGGACAGGAGCCACATAGTGTCCTATACCACTTGGAAGCACAGTGTAGCTTTCTTCCCTCCTGGAGGCAGAACAATTAAGATGAGTATATGTAGCATATGGAACAACCATTAAAATGAATCTGACACTTCAATGAGGCCGTGCATGCAGGACTGGGACAAGGGGTGGGCAGGAGAGGCAGCTGCCCAAGGCGCAGCGGTAGGGAGGGCGCCTCTTCACCACCAGCAACCAGCAGGGAGCAGATTATTGTCTACACTGACAGTTACTGAATCCACGCATGTCCCAATCGCCCACTCTCAACCCGTCTGCCCTCAGCTGATACAAAAGACGCACCGGGCATATGCAACTATCTTCTATCAGCTAGAAAGCCAGGACCGTCTTTAATATTGATTGGACCCTGAGCAAACATTTTCTTGCCCCACCATGCAATTTTGCTCTCCATCCGCTCTGAGACAAACAATAAATAGCAGCTAGAATCAAAATCAGTTTACTGCAGCAGATCATGCAGAAGTTGCGACTGGTTGCTAGATGTTAGTGCACATCATTACTGCTCACTGATTAGTTGCTAGAGGTTACTGCACAACATTACCGTTCACTGATTGGTTGCTAGAGGTTACAGCACATCATTACGACTCACTGATTGATAACCTCTGCACCCCAAATCTTCCCCAACCTGTCTGCTCTAACCCCCCCCCCCCCACTTTACTAGTGAATGCTGTCGCTATTTACATATCAATGTTGGTTATTTACATGTGAATGCTGACATGATCTGGGTCATCTGTGCACTGCAATAAGGCAGAGCTAGGCAGTATAAGAGACAGCACTTCACATTGAGATATTGGGACATAGCGCAGGATGAAGACTTCAAGGGACAAGGGTATGTAAACTGGAACAATTGGCAAATATGGGGCAGCTGCTTTGGGCCCCACAAAAATGACTGGACCCAGCGCAGCTTTCCCTTTTGCCCTGCCTTAAAGATGGCTCTGTAGAAAGCAAGCAATTGGCCAAAAGTGTAGTGAAGACTCCAAGGTAATCATAGGCAGCTAGTTCAAAGGGGGCTGGGAATGGGCACAGGGTGGTACACCCATTCTACTGCATATATTAGGAGTGTAGAAGGGAGGCACTGAACAAACCTGTTCCGGTACTGCATAAATGGCCCATTCCCATCCCAATTTGGCCCTTGCCTGTGGTGACCAGTCAGCAATCAAGAAAAGTAGTTTCCAAATGCTCGAAAAGGCCAAAAGTTATTTTTCAATGTTAGAAAGTCTAATATCTAATTTTCTGAAGAATAGTCACATCCTGGTTTCTCTTGTTCTTGACTAACCCCAATAGTTTTCTGCTAATTTCTTCTTCCATCCCGAAGCCCTCCTGTTTTTAGTCAACAATTTTCACCCAGACTCCCCAGCTCACCCTGATGGCAGCATGAAGCGGCTCTCTGAATTTCTTATAGAAAGTATGCAAGTGTCTAACCTCCGGCTCCAAGTTGTAGAAAGAGAGTCGCCCCTTCTTGAAATCTAGATATATTCCCAACCGTTTCAATTTTTTAAATGAAGAGGATAAACGTATGCGATCTCCATCATGCCTGAATGAGTAGTCCTGCATGCTTTTGCACAGGCACCACGACTCATCTGTATTCCCAAAGATAGAGTCATCTCCATCCCTGTCTATTGAGTAGTAGGACATCCCTATCCTCCAGTTATTGGTGTCACACAACTCAGTTTCCCAGTAATGTTTGCCCCCACTGAGTCCTATCCTACTTAACACCTGGTGAGAATCAAACCTGTTGTCTGTGTCATCAACAGAGTCATTATCCTGTGTTCCATGTGCGATCGATAAATCGGGGGAAATGGCCACGTTACTCGCAGCCGTCTTCTTATCAAGTCGTAAGTCTGGTAGCCCGGAAAGGTTGAGCACTTTTGGAACATTCTTTAATATTTCGGATAATTCCTGGTGTAAGTTCAAAGAGATCAAAACTTCATCCATTTCTGCAATTTTGGGGGCATATTGGCGACCTCCCTTTTCAGTAACGCAGAAGTCGGCTTCAGTTGACTCCTTCTCCATTAGGAGCGTTAGAGGGTCCGTCACGTTGCTCAGATCCTCGACGTGACATATTTTACTACACAGCTCGTCCTTCTTCATTTCCATCTGTTTGATCAGATCAGAGACCGGCTTTGCATTCATTTCTGCTTGCTTGGTAATTTGGTCAACAGTCTGAACCTCAAGAACATCCAATCTTTGCCGGATTTGTCGAAACACAGCACTAACGTGTGCCATGAGGGCTGTTTCTTCATCGTTGGCATTTTTCCTCTTCTCCTGTAGACCTTGGAGACTTTTCTCGACCTCCTTTCTCCTGGAGGTAAGTTGTGTAAGGATCTTTTTCAGTTTATCCTTTTTGTCCTTGGAGGCATCACTAAGTGTCTGGATCTGGTGTCGGCGATGGTTGGCATCTTGCAAACATGACGTGCAGATACAGGTGGAATCCACGGCGCAGTAATGCTGTAGGATCTTCTTATGGATGGAGCATTTCCATTTCCCCGGTGAAGTGGAGGGCTCGATTAAGACGTGTTCTGGTGACTTGCTGTGGGCTTTTAGGTGACTATCGCACAAGGAAGCCTCACAGTGCAGACAATATTTAACGGCAGGTATGGCAGAGTGAATGCAGTATGTACAGGAGACCCCGGTCTTCTTCTGGTCAGGCAAAGTAGAGTGGAATCGCTCTGCAATGTTAGACAGAGTTACATTCTTCTGCAGCCAAGGACGTTTATTGAACACTGTTCTGCACTCGGGGCAAGTAAAGACACCCTGTCTTCTCTGACTATCCAGCACCTGATTGATGCACGCTCGGCAGAAGTTGTGACCACATCTCAGAGTTACCGGGTCCGTAAAAACCTCCAGACAGATGGAGCAGTTCAGTTCTTCCTTCAAGTCAGCAGACGCCATTGTTAGCAGCAGCAGCCGGAAACGAAACTTAAATCAACCTTTGCCTTGAAAACAAGCCTTGGTGACGTAGCAATAGCAAACGTAGAACATTAACCATGAAGCACCCAATCCTGAAGGAGCACGATGTAAGCTGAAACTCCATTATGTATTCATTTCAAGATCAACAAAGTGTTCATAGATGGATAGGTGGGTGGATGAATGGATGGATGGTTCACACTAGTCCTGTGGCTGGTTGCAGGTGCAGGAATCACACCAGTTCCCACAACCACTCACAGCCACATTCCATTGTGAGACGGGGGGGGGGGGGGGGGGGGGGGGGGTGCATTTAGAATGAATGACACCCCCACGCATCTCATCCCACATCATTAGTCAGTCAATGCAGGTGCAGGTCTTTTTGACCATGCGGTTTCCGTGCATTTTGGAAAAGGCACATGCACCTTTTTCTGTGCATGAAACGCAGGCACATCAGCCCATTCAAATTAATAAACTGCTGTGTCCGCCCAAATGTGGGTCGCAGGGCCCACACTAGTATGAACTGGGCTGGATGTATGGATGGATAGGTGGGTAGATGGATAGGTAGATGAGTGGGTGATTGGATGGATGGATGGATAGATAGATAGATAATAGATAGATAGATGGATAGATAATAGATAGATAGATAGATAATAGATAGATAGATAGATAGATAGATAGATAGATAGATAGATAGATAGATAGATAATAGATAGATAGATAGATAGATAGATAGATAGATAGATAGATAGATAATAGATAGATAGATAGATAGATAGATAGATAGATAGATAGATAATAGATAGATAGATAGATAGATAGATAGATAATAGATAGATAATAGATAGATAGATAGATAGATAGATAGATAGATAATAGATAGATAATAGATAGATAGATAGATAGATAGATAGATAGATAGATAGATAGATAGATAGATAGATAGATAGATAGATAGATAGATAATAGATAGATAGATAGATAGATAGATAGATAGATAATAGATAGATAGATAGATAGATAGATAGATAGATAGATAGATAATAGATAGATAGATAATAGATAGATAGATAGATAGATAGATAGATAGATAGATAGATAATAGATAGATAGATAATAGATAGATAGATGGATGGATGGGGTGATGAATGGATGGATAGGTAGATGTATGAATGGATAGGTAGATGGATGGTTGGGGTGATGAATAAGTGGGTAGATGGGGTTGGTGGTTGGATGAATAGGTAGATGGATGGATGGGGTGATGAAATAAATGGATAAGTGGGTAGATGGGTGGGTGGTTGGATGGATAGGTAGATGGATGGATAGATAGGTAGGTGGATGGATGGGGTGATGAATGGATGGATAGGTTTATGTATGTATATATGGATGGATAGGTAGATGGATGGATGGATGGATAGGTAGATGGATGGGTGGGGGGTGATGAATGGATGGATAGGTAGCTGGATAGATGGATAGGTAGCTGAATGGATCGGGTGATGAATAGATGGATGGATGGGATAGGTAAATGGATGGATGGGGTGATGAATGGATGGATAGGTGTATGTATGGATGGATGGATAGGTAGATGGATGGATGGCTGGATGGATAGGTAGATAGATGGATGGGGTGATGAATAAATGGATGGATGGATAGGTAGAAGGATGGATGGGGTGATGAATGGATGGATGGATGGATGGATGGGTAGGTAAATGGATGGATGGGGTGATGAATGGATTTTATAGGTGTATGTATGGATGGATAGGTATGGATGGATGGATGGCTGGATGGATAGGTAGATAGATGGATGGGGTGAATGAATGGATGGATAGGTAGAAGGATGGATGGGGTGATGAATGGATGGGTAGATGGATGGATGAATGGATTTATGTGTCTATGGATGCATATGTTCCCTTACGACACATCCAATATCCAACACAATTTAGGCACCCCTCTTGCTGACACACACGCCATGTTTTTTTCCTTTCCAAGCTATCATTTTTTCTTGTGATATTGGCTGGTATGGGATCGGGGCGGACTGACCATTTGGGATACAGGCACCCCCTCCTCTCTGACTATCCAGCATATAAATAATGCCTGCTCTACAAACAGCTAGAGCCATTCTAGCCCTCCAGACAGACGGAGAAGTTCAGCTCCTTTTTTTCTTTAGCTATCGCTAGCAGCTGCTGCAGTAAACAAAACTTAAAATTTTTCAACTTTGGCCCTGAAAAACAGGTCTTGCTCACGTAGCAATGACAACACACATATTTACCATGGAGCATTCACTGCCGAGTGCAGGAGAAGTGACTTGGCGGCTTTACATCCGTCTATATCACTTTTACCGAAAAGCCGGGTGCTGGCTTCTTTTAACCCCTTGAAGTCCAGACTGTTTGTAATGGGCCTATGGATGGCATGTGGTTAAAGTGTATGTACACCTAAATGTTTTTATGTTAGTTTTGGACATGTAGCACTACCCCCTTAGGAATTTCTGACATTTTGGGTCCCCCTATAGTCCTGCACAGCCAGGCAACACGCATCTTCACACAGACTTGCATCCAGGAGACGGTAACCAGTCCTTGAGCTTGTTTTTTTAATTTTATTAGAGGATTGTAACTTGGATGGGGTGAGGGGTTGTCAGAACTTCAGCTCTGGGAAAATAATCAGGAAATAATTTATGAAACAGGCGGGGAACTGGAATGAAGGAGATTCCCTACTAATTTTCATAAATCGACTGATAATCTGAGTTCTTTATTTGTGCTAATTTGATGACAAAAAATAAAGCGCAATAATGTGCAAAAATATATATTTATTAATAATAAAATTCAGTGCAAAATGGTAAGGAAATATAATAGGTGATGATAAATAATAAAAAAAAAATTAAAATAACAGTACAATGATTTAATCCAAATAATGGTTAGAAGTTCAAACCAGCAATTACTTTTGAATATTAATTAATTGAAATCAACTGTCAAGAAATGTAGTGTAGGGAACTTTCAGTAACTCTGCACCATGTGAAAACAGTTATGCAAATTGACCGCGTGATTTCTCTACAACCAGATATTCAAAGCGCAACATGTACCATTGCATGAAATGATTTGGAACACCATACACAGGCCAATCCAATCATCTTAGAACAGGCCCACACTAGGACACAAAATAGGCCCGGGCACTTTGGACTGAGCAGCCCAAAGCCTGAAGACCTTTTCCTCGGAGCCCGGGGGCGGAACGCCAGGGCCCACAGTTGCAAGAGCGAAAGAGGTAGTTCTGCCACTAGTGTCAGTGGGTTTTTTTTTTTACATTTTTACAATTTTATATATATTTACAGAGAGAGAAAGAAAGAAAGAGAGATGTATAGGAAGGAAGGAAGAAAGAAAGAAAGAAAGAAAAAGAAAGAAAGAGAAAGTAAAGAAAAAGAAAAAGAAAGAAAGAAAGAAAGAAAGAAAGAAAGAAACACTGAAGACAGAGAAAGAGAGAGAAAGACAGAAACGGAGGGAAAGAAGGAAAGAGAGAAAGAGGGAAAGAAAGAGAGTGAACGAAAGAGGAAAAGAAAGAAGGAAGGAAGGAGGGAAACAGGAGAGAAGAGGGAGAGAGAAAGAGAGGCGTATAGAAGGAGGGAAAGCAAGAAAGAAAGAAAGGAAAGAAACAGGAGACAGAGAGGGAAAGAAGGAGGGAAAGAAAGAGAGTGAACGAAAGAGGAAAAGAAAGAAGGAAGAAAGGAAAGAAACAGGAGACAGAGAGGGAAAGAAGGAGGGAAAGAAAGAGGGACAAAAGGAAGGAGGGAAAGAAAGAAGGAGGGAAAGAGAGAGAAAAAGGAAGGAAGGAGACAGAGAGAGATAGAAAGAGACATATAGAAAGACAAAAGGAAGAAGAAAGAAGAAAGAAGGAAAGAGAGAATGAAAGAAGGAAGGAGAGAAAAGAAAGGGAAGGAAAGAGGGAAACAGGAGAAAGAAAGAAAGAAAGAAAGAAAGAAAGAGAGAGAAAAAGAAAGAAAGAAAGAAAGAAAGAAAGAGAAAGAAAGATAGAAAGAAACGGATGGATAGAAGGAAAGAAAGAGAGTGAAAGAAAGAGGGAAAGGAAGGAGGGAAGCAGGAGAGAGCAGAGAGAGAGAGAGAGAGAGAGAGAGAGAGAGAGAGAGAGAGAGAAAAGAGAGGCGTATGGAAGGAGGGAAAGAAGGGGGGGAAAGCAAGAAAGGAGGGAAAGCAAGAAAGAAACTGCTAATACTGTCCCTAACAGGAGGTGTACCTATCCCTTTTCTAACAACTCGAAAAATGTGTGCCAAACCTGGGAGCCAAGGCCTTAAATAGGCTCTGCCTTACCCAAAATGGCAGCTAGAGTCACATGGGGTTGCAGAATCTAATAGGATAGCTTCCACAGTGACCCAGTAAACCATATAGGATCCTTGCTCCTTTTTTGACTTTCTTCCAGCAATAGTCCTGCTGTGGAAGAGCGCCAACTGCAGTGGAGAAAATAGACTGCGCCTGCCTACACATCCTATTGCTGATAGAGGGAAAGCAGACCAAGTCTCACATTTGGCTTTAAATTGGACTAGCAGTGGTGTAATATTGAGGTCCAGAAGGTACTTAGGATCTAGGGAAACATGAACTCCCAAATATTTAAACTGTTGAACCTGTTGTAAGAGGGTAGCGGTAGCCAACTGATGGGCATGTTTGTCTATGGGAAAGTGGGACCAGTTTATTTTTACACCTGAGTAATTAAAGTCATTAAAGGTCTGCAGAGAGGTGGCCAAGGAGGACTGAACATCATTAAGATGCAACAATGCATCATTGGCGTTCAGTGATAACTTGTCCTCCAGTGCCCCCACCTGTATACCTTGAATTTGAGGGTTTGCATGTCAATCAAAGTTGCCAGGGGTTCCATGGCCATGTGTCAAACATGTATGGTTCAATATATTTGGTGCATGACCCAATGGCGGTATATATACTGGGCTTTTTATTTATTTTTTATTTTTACTAATAATGGTGTCGATCAAC